GGCTAGGGTAGAGTCAGTCCTCTTCACTGACCCAGCATGCCACAGCGTACTGTCTTTTCTCTGCTCTAACAAAGAATTATAATTTCATTATAATTACAATACAATTAAGACAAGATGGTAAGGAGCGCCCTGCCCCTGAGGGCTTACAATCTAAGAGGGCGGGGCAAGTGATACATGAGGAGGAGGCTGTGTGAATTGTTTGAGAAAGAGTTCAGGGGTTAGTTTGAAGTGTGATAGGCTTCCCTAAAGAGATGAGTCTTTAGCGATCGCCAAAGGCAGTCAGAGTGGGAGATAGACGGACAGGTTGGGGTAAGGAGTTCCAAAGAATGGGAGAGACTCTAGAGAAGTCCTGGTGGCGAACATGGGAGGAGTTGACGAGGGAGCTGGAAAGCAGGAGGTCTTGGGAGGAACGTAGGGGACGGTCAGGGTGATACTTTGAGACAAGGTTGGAGATGTAACCTGGGGCAGAGTTGTGGATGGCTTTGTAAGCGGTTGTTAATATTTTGAATTTTATCCTTTGGGCGAGTGGAAGCCAGTGCAGGGATTGGCAGAGGGGGGTTGCAGACACTGAGCGGTTGGTTGGTTGGTTAGGTGGATAAGTCTGGCAGCAGCATTCATAATAGACTGAAGGGTGGATAATCTGTGTAGAGGTAGGCCATTGAGGAGAGAGTTACAATAGTCGAGACGAGAGATAACAAGTGAGTGGATGAGCAGCTTTGTGGTTTCATTGGTGAGGAAGGGGCGCATTTTGGAGAACCCTTTTGGAGTAAATTTTGTTAATGAGCATTACTGCTGGTTAGTGAGAGGGGCTGGAGCCACCCAAGGTTGCTGCTGGTGGAGGTCTACACCTAATTTGGGGTAAATAGTAGGAGGTATGTATGGCAAGGGTAAGGTGCCTCAGGAATCATCTTTGCTCTTTTATTTTTTAGATTACGGGGGCTTTAAAGAGAATACAATTTTCTGCGTATAAGTGACATATTAAGTTATATCTTACCTAAATCCTGCTCTGTGTTCCCAGATCTCTATTCACATATATATTTTTATTGTTATTACAAAATAGTCTGGGTATTGATAAACATGTCGCTCATGCCAAACAATGGTGTAATTTCTGGGGGTGACTTTCATTCAGTATATATGCTATGGAGAAAAGTGTGTACTGTATATGTTAAAGGGAAAGTATAATGGAAGGAATTTATCAAAACTGGAGCAGATAGCATCTGGAGCAGTTGCCCATAGTAACCAATCCGCTTCTCTAATCAGTTTGTTTAGTTAAGCTTTAAAAATTAAAGAGAGAAGCTGATTTGGTTGCCATGGACAACTCCAGATTCTGTCTCCTCCAGTTTTGATAAATTCCCCTCATTGTATTTTCAGTGAGCACAGAATTTTGAATAATGGAGCAGTGAGTACACAATGATACGACATTCACATTATTTAAAGTATATTTCCACTTTTGCAGCCAACATGGGATAACACCTACTTTATATTTGTTCAATGTTCCCTTTCACATAGCATAATGTAAAAGAAAATGCTGCGTATATTTTTTAATTGTTTTTGTTTCTTGCTGACAAACACTAGTTTGCATTCATTTCTATGTAATGTTAAGGAGGGAGCTGGGGAAAGCTATGTTTACCATAATGAACCCTGTCTGTACTTTGCTGGCAGATTTCATGATCAGTTGTAAACTAGATGTGCACCCTGTTCCTCCTAAAAAGGGTTAAACATCTCAAGGATTAGGTTCTGCATTGTATGTTACAAAAACTGTCCTTGTCTGTCCCTCCCCTTCACACTGCCATCTATTCTAGGCAATAGATGCCTGCCTATAGTGTTTTATGTATAAACCTGCTCCAAAGAAACAGCTAAAAAAGGTAAGATGTATTAAAAATAAATATATATTAGGTGTGCTATGTGAATGGAAACACATAACACACATATATTAGGGGGTTTCTCAAATTTGGCTGCAAAGGTGGAAATACCCTTTAAGTTGTGTACAAATTCATGCTTTATATTCTAGCCATACTTAGCTCAATTTTTTGCCAAATGATATTCCAGCCGTGGGTGGCCTTCTCTGCACCATCTGGCTCGACAGAAGATGTTTAAAAAAATCTACTGAGCTGGTTGGAAAATTCTCGGCTGAACAGTGACTACATACTATCTGGTGTATCCAGTGTTTGGGTATTCAAGCAGCTGCGGGTGTCAATGCAGCTTAAATACAATAAACGGCAGAGGAGATTCCCCCGAGTGATTTTCTAACATTCATCCCACTGGCTGAACAAGAGAAATCTAAACGTGTATGGCTAAAATTTACTGTCTTCCTCCTCGTTCTTTGCAAATGTATTAAAGATAAATATTATAGGTTAGCCACTAGGGACAGACTGAGACCTCATTCACACTGCTAAGAGCCAGCCTGTACAGATCCGTGCGGCATGCACAGCCATATCGGGCCGCTCCCGGGAAGGACAGGTGGTGCATGTGATTGTATGCAGCAGCCTGTTCTTCCCTATGGGAGTGCACGGCCGTTTGCTGCCGTACACTCACCCGAACTGCACATCGGAACTGTGCTCGGACGCAGACAGGAACCATCCTGTCTGCGTACGGGTACGGACACCCACACGGATGTGCAGCTTGGGTGAGCGTACGGCCGAAAACTCCCATAGAGAAGAACAGGCTGCTGCGTACAATCACACGCAGCACCTGTCCTTCCTGGGAGCATCCCAATACAGCCATGCACGCCGCACAGATCTGTACGGACCGGCTCCTAGCAGTGTGAATGAGGCCTAAGTCAGCTACTTCAATTATTCTGCTCAACAATTGTTAAAATATCAACCAAGATGGCAGTGTGTTGTTTTTAATTATTTTCCTGACTCAATAGTTACAGAACAAGCCTTTTTAACAGCTTAACAAAATGAATTGCTCTTTACATCATACTTGGATATTTTTACATATGTATTTAAAAACTCTTAGAAAAAGCTTTATATCCCCTTTTATGCAATGATTGTTTAGAGCAGGGCTGTCAAACTAGTGACCCACAAGACCTTCTTTTGCAGCCTGCGAGTTGATGAACCCTGTATGGAATATCTGTAAAAAATAAGTCAAGGCAGCTGGACTTGCTGTATTTTTCTTGAAGACGTTTCACTGGTCATCCAACCAGCTTTCTCAATTCAGAACCTGGATGAATGAGAACCATCACAGACCTGTATGGAATGTAAGACTTTATAACGCAGACTGGCAGCATTCTCTGTGTTCCAGCACCCAGCAGTCATCCTGCCCAACAGGGATACTATAGTCCCGTTCCAACATCATGGAGGAGGGAGGGAGGAAGCAGGATGGGAGCGTGTGTAAGTAACCGCTGAACACCAATGAAGGGGGGTTTAATATTTCTGATATAATTGCTAACACTGGCACCAGAGAAAGGCGGGATAATCTCATATGAAAATCAGGAGAAATCCATCAGTTTGAACAGGTCAACACTTGCCCAGGTAGCTCTCTAAAAATATATGGGAGCCAGAAGAAACTAGATTATAAGAAACATGTTATTTTTTTTTGGTACAGCATATACCATAGCAGCACAAAACAATAACCTTTTTTATTTTCCATGAAAAGACCACTGCATAGTTTTTCTACGTTTTTATCTTTCAGAATAAGGTATGCTTTAATTCCTTGCTTTAATTGAACTAAGGTACTAAACTCTATTAGTTCAGCAACTGCACTAAATCTAAAATCTGTGATGAGACAAAAGGCTAGAACATAGGATCTGGTAAAGCAATGTAAGTGATGGTGCAGGTAAATATAACACATTGATGAAGCTGACAGAACAGTCTACAGTGTCTGAGGGCTTGTTCACATGACGTTCGTTTTCTGTGCTGACCTGATCCGTATGCTCCTGCACTAAAAATGCATCCCAATGTATTCCTATGTGTTTTATGGGCTACAGTTCTCACGTGCGCAGTCCGTTCAGGTTACGACAGAAAAATACTGCATGTCACATTTTGTACGGTCAGGAAACGGACCAGAAACGCAAAACGTATCAAAAACGCGGCCAAAACGCACTGCATCAGTAGCACCGCGTCTGCAGATCCGCACCTGATCAGGACCTGATATCATGTGAACAGGCCCTGAATGAAACGCCGTCCTCATACTATAGCCAGCCATCTTAGGCATTCTTTAAACTCTTCAGTGATCAACCACATGGTAGACAGTAGACATGGAGAATAAGAAAACCCTAAAAACTAGGGATGCACCGATACCGATACCAGTATCGGTGCCGATACCAAGTATTTGGGTGAGTACTCGTACTCGCCCAAATGCTCCGATACCTAGCACGAATACTTCCTGTATCAGGAAGCCGGGCAGCTCATCATTACACGCTGCCCGATTTCCTTATTGGCCGGGAAACTGCTCCATGCTCTCTCGTCACTTGTGATGAGAGAGCATGGAGCCAACTTCCCGACAAATCAGGAAGCCGTGTAGCGTGTAATGACGCGCTTCCCAATTGGTCAGAAAGCTAGCCAATCCGGATGCCGTGTAATGACGCAGCGCCCGGCATTCTGATTGGCCGGGAAGCCGGCGTCATGCTCCCTCGTCATCTCATGAATCATAATATTAAGAAACTGACCTAAAATCATTAGTTTGTATTGCTTTAGAAAAAATGTGACCTGGTCCTTTAAGGAAAAGTATCGGTAATTGGTATCGGCGAGTACGTGATCAAAAGGTTCATATCGGTACTCGTACTCGGTCTTAAAAAAGTGGTATCGGTGCATCCCTACTAAAAACATTTGCAAGAATGACATAATCTATTGTATAACACCAAACAGGTGAGAAATATTAAAAACTATGTTTATTCATTTTGATTTCCAAAAAACACCACACAAAGCATACTTTTAGATAAAATAACTGGAATGACATTTCTTTTTCATCTGACAATAACAATATCATCCTTCTTTTGTATGTAGTTGTTTTACTGATTGTGCACCAACACTACATACTTACACATTTCAGATAGTTTATCTTTGTAAAGTATTTGCAATCATAGTTAGTTGGTTCCTAAGGCTTTCCCTCTTCTGTTTTAACTGAGTTTCCAATGATCTGGCTTCTTTAAGAATGTCATCAAATTCATCCACATAGCGTACATCCACTGCAGACAGCTCACTTCATAAAAACATAAAACATAAATTATGCACACAAAAAAGTAGTATGTTCATAGTATTTTATTGCTATTCTCTACTTTCTGTACCAAGTTAAGCAGTATTTGGAAATATGTAGTATCCCATTACCCCTATAAAGACATAAATATCACTATACTATGCTTATTATCACACCATAAATACAAATGTGCTGCATATACTGTTCTATAGGTAACATTCATTGTAAATATATTAGGGCCTGTGTAGACAGACTTTTGGCTTGTGTCAATGGCATAAGTTTGAAATGCTTCTAACCTGCATTTAACCTGCTTCAAGCAGGTTTTGCCTTTCCCTAGTCTTGTATGAAAATGTAAAACTCACTTGAATTGAACAAAAGGCATCACAACAGGCGCAAAAGCAGATGTTAGAGTGCTAATCTTTTTATTCTGCTTACCATTTAAATAACTTTATAGTTCATATTAAATTTCACCTCTATAGAATAAAAGTTTAAGCTTGTATAACCCCTGGAGGGTAGACACAATAAGGTGCCAGATCATTCCTACAGCCTTTTGCTTTACAGCACCGATGGAGATTCCTGAAATCCGGCTAGGGTTTGGAGAGAATAGCTTATCCACCTATATTGCAGTCAGCCATCTTCAGGCCTGAGATGTGACAAAACAGTGAAAAGTGTTGAGTGCTCTGGAGGCTTGGCGGTAACAAGCCCAGCTGAAGCAAGCTGGCTTCTTAGGGCCACTGTAAGAACACCCAGCCTCCTAAGGGAGTAGCTCCCCTGGAAGGAGTCTGTGGGGTTGATTTACTAACCTTATAAACACACCACGAACGTGTATACACCTCTGTAGAGGCGGACTGGGGAACGGATCACCTGTGTGGTGAAAGACAAGCCCGTGTAGCAAATTGACAAGAACCAGCCTGTGTGGCAAGTTGACGAGTTCCAGTCTGTGTGGCAAGCGTGTAAGATACAGCCTGTGTGGCAAGCGTGTAAGATACAGCCCGTGTGGCAGAAGTTTTGTTAATTAGACAGTTAGGTGCTTGGGGCAGCACAAGGTTGCTCCTAGCCGGTACTTAGGGAAAACTGTGTGTAGTAAGTCGCCAATGTGGCAAGGATTTATTTTCATGTTTCTTTTGTTTTGCTGTTGTTTTAAGTTAGTAGGGAGAGTAAATAAACTGCACGTGTGCTTTTCACCAAAAGTCATTCCATGCTGTGGCTGTTTTCTGTGTGGAGTACTCATCCAGGGTGTCACACATGCTGCCAAGCTACTAGCGAGCTTATACCCTCACAATATATGTATGTATACATATTTTTTTTAATTAAATATTTATTTTTTTATTTTTTTTAATTAAAAATATACACAGAAGTGAATACTTATTAATAAGATAAATGATAGTCCGCTGATCACAATCACAAATATACATCTGAAAAAATGCAAAAGACTGGGGCACATTGCCACTCCTGAGATCTCTTCTAGAAGACCCAAATATGCGACCTATTAAACTGACACATTAATGGCAGATATTTTTCTTCTTGGCTTTCTTTCACTTATACAGTGTAAAGGACGATAGAAATGTAGTACTTCTGTCCTCACCAAAAGATAACTACTAAAGGGAAAAATTGGTAGCAGGTTTCAACATCGGATAATTATCATCAGAAAACAGTTTTTTTCTGTACATTATTTGCATATGTATGAGCAACTATAATTGTCCCATGAATTCCCCAGATGTGTACGTTTCTGGTCATAAGCTATGCCGATGTAGAAGATATTTTGTGACGTTAACTCACATTCTGACACTTCCATTATCACAATTCTTAATAAAACTATTAAATGTGGACAAATGTAAACAAGTGGATATACAGTAAATATGTAGACTCCCACTGCTGACTTCTCCTTAGAAAATGCTAGTTGTCTGACCTCACTTGCTGCATACTTGTCTGGAATAAGTAAGTAAAAATGATTGAAAGAAGAAATAGCCAGGCAACTAGCTTTATCAAAAGATAGTAACAATGGGATCTGTTGTATTTGTTCTCTGTACATGTCGTCTTTATCCTCTAAATCTCCTACAAGTAGCACAACTACTGCAAGGCTGCAGGGCGCCCAGGGTGCAGCACCTTCTAAATTATAAATATGACACTTTAACGTTGTATCTCTGTGTTTGCAAGGCTTCAAAGAGAGGAAACCATCAGACACACACACACACCATCCACACACAAGATGATTCTCCTTACTCTAACACTACTAGAGTCTAAGCACACTGATTGGCTAATACTGATCCACATATAATAGAACCATCAGGAAATTATGATAGCACCCACAGAACTATTTACTGAATACTGAATTATTGTTCTCTTTCTATTGACAAAAAAATGTGGTGGCTATGGACCACCATTGCTTAATGAGACACTCTGTCTTTTAGAATTGAACACAGCTGGCAACCTTGGTAAAGACCTGTAAGGGTGGGTGGTATGGGGTTCAAAATCTGTCAGGTTTTTATTGCTATGTGTGTGTTTATTAGGGACATGTCCTGGTGACTACTGTCAGTGGGGTTGTAAAGGAGGGAAAATTCAAAATTTGGAGTTGTCATAGGAACAGGAATAGAAGGCAAATATTCCAATGGGGACACCTGTTCAGGTAACAACTAAGAGGGCTACAGGATAGGAAGTGAAGGCCCCCCCCCCTCACACACGTACTCCACCCCAATGGGACACAAATGGCAAAAAACAAAGAACCTTCCCATTATTTATTCAAAACAAATGGTAGGGTCCTAGATATACTTTAAGTTATTTAGAATGAATAATATTACAAATATTACAGATTTTTATTATTTGAGTAGCATTACAGTATCACCAGTAAGATGACCAGAATAAAAATATGCATATTTACCTCAATATCTTTGCAAACTTTAAAAGTATAAGGTTGATTTCTTTCCTCAAGTCTGTTAAAAGAAATAAAAATACTAAAAAAGTATGCTTGCGCTATAGTGCAAGTTATAATGCAAAGTTATAATACTAACCTTTCACTAGTGCATCGGTGTCTCCACCTTGAGAGATTTCTGAATAAGAAGATGGTTCTTTTGATGGTAATGCACACTGAAGCATTTCTGAGTCTAGGACCTATCGCAATTTGAAAGACATGACACAATCACTCATTTATTTTGAAATATATATATATCAGCCATACATTTACATTCCTTATTCTATTTTACCTGGTTATAGAGGCTGCTGCAAGCTCTTTATTAATCTCTCTCTTATGCCACAGCTCCCACAAGAATACACTCCTGCACTATGTTGTCTAATACCAGGCATAAAACCAGAGTGAGGGGCACATGCTTTTCTAAATAAGAAGCAAGGGTAAGGATGGCAGCCTTGAAGCTTACCTATATCAAAGCAAGTGAAGAATGTCAACTGCCATATTTGTAACCTTAATATGGGTATCCTAATCTATCTAAAGCCTTTGAGATGCCTTGGAGATAATGTCACCACATGCAATAAGGAAACTATGCTCTACTATGATGCTTCAAAAAAGGCCTTACAATCAAGTACATTGTTTATTTTGTACCTTATTTAACTTTGCCTGGTGTAGACAAGTCATCTACCTACTGTAATAAATATTTAGAACTATGTTGCAAGACTTTGTTGTTATTTTTTCTGCTATCCCGATAACCGAATGAAGAAATAAAACAGGCAACCGCTCTTTAAAAGAGCATACGAGTCAAAAAGGGATGACTTTACGCCCCTCAAGGTGACCATACAATTATCGTTCAATTTTTTTTGTCCCACCTTCAAACAGTCGTTCGATTTCCGCACGACTGCCCCATCATGCACAGACCAATGTGGATTTCAATTATCATTCGTTAGCAATACTAACTGACCGAATTCCATCAATTGACAGAACGGATGTTCATGAGCAGTGTTCATGAGATTCGGCCAGTTGTACAGTAATTGTGATCATTGACTTCCTATCAACTGGACGATTATCGTACGAAAACCCGATTTCCGTTCAGAAAAAGGTGGATGGGCACCTTTAGGCCTCATGCACACACAACGCAAGAGCAAAATTGTATATTGCGTTTATGTATACGCGAGTATATGTGTGCACTGTATGCCATCCCAGAATGCATCATTCTTAATAGAAATTTAAATGTACTGTATGCGTGTACATGCGTATACGCGCACACACACACGTATATGCATGCAAAATACGCAGAAATACGGAGCCCGGACGCATATCGGGTCAATTTTTTGGCGCATCTTTACGCTGTGCAAATATGCGGCTTCATACGCAGCTATGTGTATGTGTAGGGTTCATTTACAACAATTTGCACAGCAAAGTTGTGGAAAAACATCCGTCGCTGCATCCACAACATATAAAAGGGCAGTACAGCCCCCTAGTAGTGACATCTAAAAACATCATTACTTAAATAACTATTCCTGGTTAGAAAAGGTCTGCCTTATTTACGGTGCCAGTAACAGTGGAGCTATTAGGAGAGAGTACTGACTTATCATCATTACATAAGAGCAAGCATATTTCTATCATGCTTTTGTAGTTCCATTACTTTTTCCAAGAAAAAAACCTCATGAATGGTAAAAGTATCTAAATTAGATCTCCTTGTAAAACTGCACGCATATTCAATATGGTATTTTAGTTTAAGTGAATGTCCAGCAAATCATTTTTTTTTATGAGTTTTGGATAGAATGGGGAATGTTTTGAACTGTTTTCATGCTTTTACTGCTATTCGGGGCTATTTTCTTTCTCCTTAATTAATTTTGGACATCTAAAAGTAGTCTAATCGAGGGGTGGACATCAGCAACAAAGCGCACAAGAGGGCCACAGAACAAAGCTACAAAACTAGGGTATGCTGCTCAAAAAAGCTGCCTGAAGGATTTTACTGCCACAGCTGGCATCAGATGAGGCTTTAATAACCACTGGATAAAACTAGGGATGCACCAATATATCGGCCGCCGAAACATATCGCCGAAACAAATCGCCCCTTTTGGCATGAAAGTGCCATTTTCCTGCCGATACATCGGCGCATCCGTGATTTCTTTTCTCTCCGCTGGGCACTGCTCTATGTCCCAGCGGGGAGAAGAGAAAGTGACAGCCGGCCGAGCGCTGCGGTGGAGAGCGATGTGACCGGCCTGCGTCTCCTCCCACTCCGCTCTGCCGCCTATCACAGTCCGGCAGAGCGGTGTGGGGGCGAATAAAGCCACTGAGAAGTGGTGCAACTCTGTGCTTTCTAATGGAAGCAGTAGCAGCCAGGCAAACTTGCACAGTATGAATACATATAGAATGTGAAGAATCTGGAATGTCTGCCAGATGTTTGATCAGGTCAGAGTAAATGTGACTGCTCCAGTTCAGAGCTTCCAGAGCATCGACTGATTCTGCCCGAGGATCTCTAAGCCTGGAAACAAACCTCCCGGGTCTCCCTGTCCAGTTTGTTGGAAAACCTGGAGACCAGGAGGTGCACTTGTGACACATATCCTAAAACACTTTCGGGTGTAGAGACCATTCTCCCGGGTCCAGAATGGAATGTGAACAGCGGACAAGTCTGGAACATAACGTTCTGCCCCGAATAAAGTCCTTTGACCTTTTCTTGATATGGCAAGACTTCTGTTTCCTTCCTAATGGTTGAAGTACGTCATTCATGTGGTGTTGTTTGATTGAATTTGGATAAAATTCAATCAAACAACAATTAAGCATTGTAGGAGCAACCAAATTGCTTGGAGATCCTAAACGTTGATTGAGAGATAGTGTTCATCAAGACATCAAAAGGAAGGATTTTCCTGAGCTCCAGAGCTGAATTCCTAAGCCACCAGGCAAACCATAGTCTGGTCCTCAGTGTCAGGCAAGTCGGTTTGTCTACAGACTGAACCCATATGATCTAGAAAGACCTAAAGCTGTATTAAAGGGATTCTAAAGTCTCCATTTTTTTGCATATATCTACTGCTAGCAAGCAGTAGATATATGCAAAAAGTTTTTTAAAAAAAAAAGCTTTAACAGCGATTTAAACTTACCCGCCTTCGCTGCGCGCTCCCGTCAGAAAATCCAAAACTGCTCGGGCGGCCGCAAAGCATCTTGGGGCGGGCGCATGCGCAGTTCGGAATTTTGGCCGGGAGACGAGGAGAGACGCAAGGTAAGTCTATGGATGCGGACACTGTGGGAAAGGAAGTACCAGCAATTCAGAGGAGCCAGCGCTATATCAGAGAGCCGCCGCACGGCTGGAGGGACAGATGAAAACATCAGGAAAGAAAAGGAAGATCAGATTAAGAGACATCATTTAAGGTAAGTGCTGACATTAACATTGGAGGAAGGGAAAAAAAATGACTTTAATGTCACTTTAAACTCTCAAAGTTTTTTCAATAATGAATCTAGATGAAACAAATATACATTGCCCAGTAAAGCATTGCTTTGTATTTTTTGAGTCTTCAGAGACTGGCTCACATCAGAGGCTGGGACACAGCTCTGGACCTGGAAAAAGCTCTATAGCTTTCTAACATGGTACACTGACAAAGATTTTATGGACATCTAAAGCAATTGGAGCACCAATTTAACTTATATTAACCTTTAGTACACTTCAGTCTAACTTGTGTATTTTCTCTCTTTGTATCCTTGGTTTGGGAACTTGTGGTTCTGTTTAGGCTACATCCTGCCGATAATAATTATTTTGTGCCAAGGACACATAACTTAAGCTTTAAAACAATTTTCACATGATGTTGATTTCACAATATATTTAATACATATTTTAATGAGTAGTTAACACCTAGAAATGCCCAGAATACATTATTAATGATTATGGAAATAAAGATCAGTTGTTTATCCTAATAAAGTAGAAACTGCTATACAGAGGCTCTTGTGTCCAAGTCAGTTTCTCTAGAATCATGCTATGTGGGTGCACCTTAACCTTTTTCTTCTAGGATACGTGTGGTATCAAATTTAATTTTGTCTACAACAAAAAGAATGGAAAGCACCACAAGCAGAGACCAGTGCCCAAAGGTCATTCCTGGCAGGACCTGCCTGGTGACTGTCATTGCTCCCTGCAGGGATTCCTCCCCCTACTCTCTCGGGTGGGGGGCAGGCGCAGCTGGCTCTGCCTCTAGTGAGGCAGAGCCAGTTGTCAATCAGCCAGCGGGGTGGATCTCGACAGTATTGTTGGGATCCATCCTGGCTGCAGCACGGCTCTGCGCTGTCAGCATACAGTGGGAAATAGCCCCTTTTATATACTGAGTTTTGGGTCACTGGAGGACATTAGTATATGCCCTCCCGTGACCCTGGAGAGATCCATGGGCAAAGAAGTTACCCCATAACCCTCCTTAAATCCATAAAGTGCACCTTTGAATCAAATTGCAGTTATTGTGATTTCTTCTATTGGCACTCCTATACTTACACTCAATAAGTAAAAGTAAACGTACACTGAGTTAAATAAACAATTTTGTCTAAATCTGTTTATGGTGCTTGGTAATGGAGGGGGTTCTTTTCGGTTTATCATATCTAGAAGCAAAAGCCACAATATGAGTAACATTCTTGCTCCACACCCTTCCCCCAGCATGTGGCTAACTCTCATTTAGCCAGATCAGCAAATTGCGTGGAACATTTTAACAGAAGCTTTGCAAAGAAAGGCAACCGCAACTTTTCTACTATCGGTACATTGACGTAAATTCTTCATCTTAATAGACATGCAGGGGAGGCTGGGTTTCTTTAAAGACATAGTCCACCTGTTTTAAAAACCAATAATAAATGTACACATATTCATACAAAAAATATAAAAGTGCATTTGTTATTTTTTTGTATTGGAGCCAGTAAAGCATTGCAACCTCAAATCAGTGGATCACGGGAGCAATGCTCTGCCCCCTGCAGGCCCTTCCTTCCATCCTTGTCGGTATTAAAGCACAGACATTTATTAACATGGACAGGAGGAAGAATAAATAGATGACATTACCACACTTGTATTCCATTGAGAAGTATATCAACATTTGCCATATATGTAGATGGGACTTGTAGTTTCTCCAGACGTAAAGAAGTTAGTCACCCCCACACCAGGGTCGAATATATTGATGAGTCTTGATCTATATGATGTTAAATATATATGTTATCACGTGTAAATGTAACATTTCAGAACCCACCGCGTTCCCTTCATCAGGCAAAACATAGTAACAATGTTACTAAATTGTTTATTTAACTCAGTGTATATTGTTACTATGTTTTGCCTGATGAAGGGAACGCTGTGGGTTCTGAAACGTTGCATTCACACGTGATAGCATATATATTTAACGTCAAATAAAGACTTATCAATATATTGGACCCTGGTGTGAGGCTGACTAACTTCTTTACGTCTGGAGAATCTACAAGTCCCATCTACAGATATGGCAAATGTAGATGTGCTTCTCAATGGAATACAATATCTATGCACAGGTCGTGTCAGCACCCATATTGACACTACTGTGGAATTCCAGTCTGGAGTGCAGTGGGATATATCGAATTGTAGTCTCTCCATTCACAAATCTCGTCAAATACAAAATAGTTTCTGAAGCTAACTTTAATATAAAAAAAAAAAAAAATCAGCATCTGACATTTTGTTCTCCCAGATAAAGGAGGGCTGTTCCCAATGGAAATATCTATTTTAAATAATTATTTTCACTGCTTATCCACCCAACAAAACCTGCGAGCACATGTTTTGGTTCTTCATATATATGGTAAATATATATTTTCCTGAAGATCCTCTCTAGGCCACTCATTACAATCATTCATCAGCAGTGTGCACTCTCATCTTCTAGGATGCGGATTCATTATCCTTGCACTGTTTTACATGGTGTACAAAGCAACAAGAGGCAATCAAAGGGCCATGGGCAACATGAGAACTTTGAACCTGTTGGCCCTGAAGGATGCTGCTTAACGCTAAAATCTTCATCCTTCCTTATGGTAGAAACAGCCCTGCCTGGTATACAAGGAATGGGACTCATTAAAAGGAAATGATATGCAATAACGAAATCCTTGCTATCACCGTTCCAAAATCAGGAATGTAGAATGAAAAAAAAAATGATGCTTTAACAAACTGCAACTCAAAGAAGCACCTCTCTGTGCTGAACCTTTCCCTACCGTGAATTGTAGAGAAAAGGACTGATGAGTGCTTTTTCTTATTATGCAATGCCCACAAGTAGTAGTAATATATTTTGCATATACTTGCCCACAGAAACATACAACATTTTTATTCAGTAATTGACATTCAAGCAATGCATTCAGTATATTGACAGTAAGGCCCCTTTCACATGGGATGACCTGGAAGGGATCTGTGCTCGGATCCCGTCATAATCAGAGCAGTATGGAGTGGCTGTCACCTCTGTGACATCCGTGACTGTTTTTTTTTTTCACCTTACGATGCAAGAAAACACTGATATTGCCAGACACCATGTTGGTCACTCTATTGGGAATCTGATGTAAATGGAGATGTGTTTGTTTACATCAGATTACCCCTGATCCGGCATGATCAGGTCCAGCGAAACGGATCTATGATACGTTTACTCTTTCAGACCTTGCCGGAGGCGGGAGGGAACCTGATGTAACGGACACCGGCCCATTTACACACGGATGCCTATAGACTTACATTTGGCATTCGATTGGGTCCGCCGGAAAAAGTGACAGGCTAGCCAATCGGATCACCCATGTGAAAAGGGGCCTTAATGTTAATATGCATCTTTCATATATATCTAAAAAAAAAAAAGGGTTTAATCTACTCACTTCCATATCTTTCTTGCGTTTGCTACTTTTACTTTCATCCTGAGAAGCAGTACTTGCCATTACCGCCTAAAAACAATGGAAAAGCAGACAAGAAAACAGTATGTTATAAAAAAGGAAAAGATGCCGACATGAACAAAAATAAATATGAGTTTTAAAGCAAACGTGACCTGGCCTAAAATGTTTTTAGATAGCAAAGTTGCTGAGGTATACCTTGTGGTGCCCGGAAGCACCTGTATTCGTTTTCAAATAATGACCTGTGTTCCTGTGGACAAATACCCAGCTCCCTTTTGGATCCTATGCCCAAGCTTTAAATGGGCCTTGAATTTTGGCCCTGCTCCCTTTGACACTTAGCCCCCCTCTCCTGTCACTCAGCTGGAAAAAACTGGAACTTCAGTGGGTGCTACAGGATTTGGCATTTGACAGGGTGGAGAATTAGCGTCAGGAAATAGGACTCTTGTTGTCCACTGAGGAAACACAGGAAATCTTCAACCTTTAGGGTATACTGCCGTCTAAGAGGGAATGGACATTGGCAAACCAAACAACCTGTAGGACAGCCCAAGATAACCCCCCATTACCAGAATGCTTTAGTTTTGCAGCAAAGCAGTAGTGGGGACATGATAAACACAGAGGGGTGAGACCTGTGTACCTCAATGAACTTCAACAAAAGGATTTTACAGGGAATACAAACACAGCAAATAAATGCTAACAGGACCAAGAAAGACAACTGGGCACAGCCTGCAGCTCAAAGAACTGTCTGAAGGACCTTACACTCAAAGCTAGCCACAAGAGTCTGGACCGGTTTATGGCAGGAGCAAGGACGCGCTCCCTCTCGGTACCCCGAACCAGCGGGGCTTCTAAGGAGGTGGGAGGGGACAAGATGGCGGACGCCAGCGCTCCCCTAGCACATCAGACCCCAGCTCCCTCCTTTCTCCAGGAGGTGATTGCAGACGAGGGGGTATATGAAAAAATAGCCCTAGCTGTGGCAAATCTGCTGAAACCCACTATCACCAATGCGGTGGAGTCAGCAATACAGCAGGGTCTCCTGCAGATACGTAAGGACCTGTCATCCCAGGCCATATCCCTTAAAGAGGCAGAACTGAGAACATCAACTTTGGAAGAGGAAGTGCTGGAAGCCAATGCCAAAGTGACAGCAGTTGAAGACATCTCTCAATCGCTCCTTGCAAAGCTCGATGACCTGGAAAATAGATCCAGGAGGAACAACCTCCGGATTATAGGGCTACCTGAATCGTACAAACCGCAAGTATTAGCCCACCTATGCTCGTCCACTCTGCCGGAAGCCCTGGGTCTCCCCACAACGTGCGTGGTGGAACGCGCACACAGGCTAGGGCAGCAGCAGCCTGACAAACCGAACGCAAGACCTGTCATTGTTCGGTATTTAAATTATGCTGATAAATGTCTTATTATGCAACAATACCGCTCCTCCCGCACATTGGAGATTGACGGGCACAAGCTATTGATCTTTGCTGATTACTCTGCGGAGGTCGCCAGAAAGCGCAAGGCCTTCAACAAGATCTGCTCCGCGCTGTACCAGAAACACATCCGATTCACACGGGCCTATCCGGCTGTTCTCGACATGGAAACTCCCACGGGCAGAAAGTGTTCCTTTCAGAAGCAGAGTCTTTTTTCCATGCGATGACCTTGGACTCTGGGTCTCCCGCTGAGGTGGTTGAACCACAGAGAACCCCCCGCAAAACCGTGAAAACCACAAGACGTAATAGGGGCAGAACCGCTGAAAAAACTGAGGGTGAACTGGATACGTTGAGAGACTCTCCAGCTTAACCAGGGGCAGGAAGTATCGCCATTATCTGTAGATCTTTTTCCAATAATGGCAGCGGCTGATTGAGTTGCCCTGTTCCCTCTGCCCACATTGGAAAAAAGTGGAGTCATTACTAGGATGTTTTTTAGTTGTTACAGTTTACATGTTCAAAGTTATTTACGTGTTACTTAATTTGATGGTTAATTTCTCCCATTCTGCTGGTTGCCTTATAGATCTCAGGTACTACTTTGCACCAGGAACGGTGGTGTTCGGGCGCGCCCTGCAGAAGCCTCATCCTCCCCTCACATGGCACTACAGATTGCCTACACGCCCAGAACGGGTAAGTACTATACCACGGGGCTCCCTCTTAGATCATCAGTACACTCACAGGTACACACACGCATGTCCAAGTCGTCTTGCTAGGGAACTTTTATGAAGATAGTCTCCTGGAATGTTAAGGGGCTCCGTTCCCCACATAAACGTAATATGATACTGAGACATCATAAACGCTTAGATGCGGATGTGGCGTTGCTACAGGAAACCCACTTAAGGGCGGAGGATGTAAACCGTCTTAAAAAACTTTGGGTGGGGGAAGCTTTTGCCTCTCCCTCGGAGGGACGTAAGGCGGGAGTGGTGATTCTGCTGCACAGGAGACTCCCATATCAGGTGTTCAGAGTTGAACGTGACGACGAAGGAAGGATGCTTACGATATATCTAAAATATTTCGAAGTGGAGTTGGCGATTTCAAACATATATATGCATAATTCGCCAACCGACTCTCACTTCCAACAGCTGTCCTCCTGGCTAACGAAAACTACCAATCTGTACCACCTGGTGGGGGGGATTTTATTTGCACTATGAATCCCCTAGAGGACAGGAAAAGAACAACCCGTATCACCCAAACCTTACCAACCCCACGATCAGGATCTCAATCCTCGCTGGCAGACTGCATGATCTTTGGAGAATAATGCATCCGTTAGACACTGAATTTACCCATTTCTCCACGGTACATGACAGTTTTGCTCGCCTGGACTATCTATGTGGAACAAACCCCTTGCTGCAAATGATCAAAGCCTCGGATCTTCACAAAATAGTCATCTCTGACCATGCCCCCATATCGATAGATCTCTCTATTGCACCAAGGATAGCTAATACTATTCTATGGCGCTTCCCTGGGTACCTTAAAAATAACGAGGATTTCTGCCACTTCCTCCGATCTTCCTGCAGGAATATGCAGAATTAATAGCCAGCATGTTGAGTCCCCTGCATTGTTCTGGGAAGCAGGAAAAGCTTACCTAAGAGGCAGGATCATGTCATATACGGCCGCCTATAGGAAAAAAACAGTGAACGCCTTTTAGGAGGCCAGTGCGACGGTTCGACTGGCACAAGACCGGCTAATAACCGACGCGGACCAGACCGCGAAAACACTCTGGGAACAGGCCAGACGTTTGACCTATGGGCGGACAGATATGAATGCATGAAAACCTCATATATGGACCTCACGTTTCACAAATTTGGGAACAAGGCGGGGAAACTCATGGCTAGACTGGTTAATGGAAGGAACTCCCCATCACATATCTTTGTGCTGCAGGATAAGACGGGTTCACTCCTGACAGACCCGATAGCTATAAATGGGGCCCTAGAGGAATACTTCACCTCGCTGTATAGCAAAGATGATATGGATAGGGTAGAAGCGAAGACATTTTTAAGCCAGATAGACCTACCCACAGTGCTGGAGGAGTAGAGCCACATGTTAAACGCAGATATTACGCTGGGAGACATAGATACGGTTGTACAATCTTTGACGGGAGGCAAGGCCCCCGGGCCGGATGGATTCACCACTGAATTCTTTAAGATTCTAAAGGGAGATATCACAGACATGTTACACGCCCTATATAACCACATGTGGGAGGAGGGCGCTTACTTCCACACAGGGAGGGAGGCGTACATTAAACTTTTGCCTAAACCGGGAAAGGATCCTACCAACCCGGGTTCATACCGACCTATCTCACTTATAAATGTGGACGCAAAGATCCTGTCAAAAATACTTGCAGGCAGGCTGGCTGAGGTTATGCCTCATCTCATACACCCTGCTCAAGTAGGGTTTGTAAGGGGAAGAGCGGCGGTAATGAACCTGAGGAGGGTCATACTGGCCCTGGAACAAGCAAAAGCATTTCCCGTACGGGAGTTTGCCATGGTGACTCTTGATGCGGAAAAGGCATTCGATAACGTAAACCTGGAATGACTATTTCTGGTCATGACAAGGCTAGGGATAAACAGTAGGTTTCTTTCCCTGCTTCGCAAAATGTACTCCTCTCCTACAGCGCAGATATGGACCCAGGGGGGCCTTTCCCATTCTATTAGTCTCAGCAAAGGAACCCGGCAGGGATGCCCCCTATCCCCCCTACTGTTCAACCTGGCGCTGGAATCAAAGTAGGTAAAATGCCGTCCACGATATATAACCTGAATTTTCCTCCCCTCATAGACAAGATAGTGCACGAATTGGAGAGATGGAGGGGTTTGCCCTTATCGCTTTTCAGGAGAATGCACCTAGTGAAAATGACCAGCTTTGCGAGACTACTATATCCCTTACAGACGGTTCCCTTACTATTGAAACATAAGAATATTCAACGTCTCAATAAGGCAATGGTCCAATTCATATGGTGCAATAAACGCCCGAGGATAGCTTTGAAAAAGCTTTGGCTCCCGAGAAGCGAGGGGGGATCAAACTTCCCTAATGTTAGACTATATAACTTATCGTGCCTGCTGCGCCATGCTGCGGACTGGCTCACGGAAAGCTCGAGGTATTCCAATATGGAGCTGGAAACGGCTCTGGTGCACCCGTGGGACCTGCGAGCCATACTGCATTGTAAATTGTCGAAGCTGCCAGGAACACTGCGCCATCACTTGTTAATAAGGGACACGGTCCTGGCGTAGAAGGTGGTGAGACGCAGGTTGGGTCTCTCGCCTTATATATCGCCAAGGTGCCCAATGCTCGGAAACCCTATGTTTCCTCAGGGCAATGATTACGCAGCTTACAAGTTATGGCGCAGGAAGGGGCTTATCCATTGGAAACAAATGTTTCAGGGAGGTACCTACCGCCCTATACCCTTCCCAGCATTGGCGCAGCAGTATTCTTTGCCACCCTCCCATTTTTTGTATTACCTACAAGTTGACAAAACATGGCGCATGTTCTCCAGCGACCCCAAAGTACTGTTTGCATCTACGTTCCTGGACGTACTTATATCAGGAGGGAGATACTCTATTTCAGACATATACCCAG